TGTTACAAATTTTGTGGATGTTTGCGAAATTCAATCCGACAATCAAATGACGATAATTATCTGTAAAATAGAATACACCTTTACCTNGGGGGGGGGGGGGGCAACCATTCTTTTCTGAATGACAGTATATGCCAAATAACTTGGGATATCTGTTAACTTGGAGAAAATTTCTAAGTCTGATGAAAATCGTCACATGTATCAGATTCATTGTACCAATTTAAAAGAGTTTGGTCTTGATTAACTCTTAGGCAATAAAGAAGCCATACAAGAGCTTATCTATTGATAATCTGAGGTAAAATTCATTCCGACCAAATAAGAAACTGCTGCCTGGGAAAAAAAATCGCATAACGTCTTCACTTAGGGTCTGTCTGTTAAAAACAAATAGTCATAAAACGGCTAGCCGTAAGTTCACATTATGTGTGTAAAGCTCGCTACTAGCTTGCAAATACAAAAAGGAATGTTCAATAAGAATAGCTTGTGGGAAAATATTTTCGCCGCTTATTCCCCTTATTCAGCGTATAACTACTAAGAGGAGTACAGTGTGTCATGTGTTTTGGTTAAACGGCCAGATTCCGATCATATCTCCCAAATGATACGCATCAATCTTTTGGAGCGTAAACATCCACCTGGCTTGCATATCCTTCTACAGTTACAGTCATTTCTGCACGGATATCGATCGAATTCGTGAGATTTCAGGACCTTCATTAGACCTCCACCTACTAACCCTCTGTTTTAATTCTTCCTGATTCACTGAGATGGTCATAGCAATAGACTGGAGCAAACGTTTGCTCCAGGGATAATACTCATATAATGTGTTTGGAAAAGGTGAATCTCAGATTTCAATTTCAGTCTGGAATTTCATCAGTTGTAAGATAAATGCATCCCCTTTTGAGATGATTTCTCACACTGGAATCGAGTTATTTACGGTCCTTCCACTACTAAGATCTGTATTGACACAAGAGTTATTTCCTTACGAAAGTAGGTGTCTATTCATTGGTTCATTGTATACGGACGGACACATTGACTCGATTAAAGATTCACAAAATATAATCGAGAGAAATGAACTGTCGTCTCGTATCACGATAACAATTGCTTCTTATTCTGAGATAGTTCGAACTGCAAGAAAAAAAACCCGAAATCTGAGCAATTCAACTGATGACCCCAAAAATGCACTTTGCTGTCCAAGTCGCAAATGTGGTCAAACAAAACCCGAAGTACCATTTGAAGTCTCAGTTGGGCCAAAGACTGATCTTACACCTAAGTCGGTTGAATATTTAGAACGATTTTAATCGTCCTTAGTTATGGCTGGCTCTCGAGTTCGGCGATCCCAAGCTCGCAGTCGGGGCCAGCTTACACAGAAACATCTCTGTGCGCTTAGTGAACTAATGAGAGACTAGCAAATTCTCCTAAGTGCACCCGATAATGGAGCTGGTATCATTGTAGTGGATCGTGAAGTATACATTTCTCAAAATGGTAACCATACACTTGACAATGCGACCAAATTGGAAAACCGAAAGAAAAAATCACAGTACGCTGAAAAGGATCAAATATCGAGGACCTGTATCAGCGAACCTTTTTGAACTACTCAAATTCGTGTGTTTCAACATACCTGGGCTAAACGGTTAAACTGATAATATTATTGCCAAAAAGATAGAGTAGCCATGGCGTCACCCATTGAGCCAATCAATGAGGATATTTTCATAGCAACATGAATGAGGTCCTCTGTACATAGTCATCAAAGACTTGAATCACTATTAGAGATACGTGCACGATATTTTCTGTGTTCAGATGGACCTTAATGATGTTTTGTTGAACTTCAATATGGCTTACTTAGTGATAAGCAATACAACTGAGAAGGAAGACCATAACGGATTACCATTGATAGTATAACGAGAAGTTTGGATGGCTTCATTCAGCGGAAGGTTCGTCGAAAAGCCACATGGAACGGATAGTACACAAACCTCCATGTATTTTTACCACTCGCTTGCAATGGTAACTTGGTGCTCTGTGCTCTTCTCAGAGGACTCATTAGAAGACGAATTAGCAGTTGTACGAAAAACGCCATCACAAAATGGCTANAACGTTCATTGATCGTAATTGATTTGAAAGAACCAAAGGACTTTGATCATCAAACGTTCGTTCGAAGGAGATCCAACAGCCAAAAAGGGTTGCTACAGTCCTGAGTGCCGTATTTAAGACAATGATCAATGCTGACAAACTCAGATGTGTGTATTCGACATTGTCCGTTATCAGATGTCAGGACAAGGATAAATTGCCTATGCTGACCTCGTCAATGCTCATGTACCGATTCAAGTTCATCTGTGGAGCTATTTAGGTAGGTGGTACTACAAGACAGTTATTGAAACTCATCAGGGAACATCAACTCACGTGGTTTAGATAGGTAGTTTGGCCTCTATCACCAT